ATATATATATATCCGAAAAGCACATAAAAATATACTTGGTATTATTAGTCATTAGAAAAATACAGAGATGGCAGATCCTTGGAAGCTTATAGGTCAACTAGCTTGACGTGCTTGGCAAAGTTCCTGACCAAATGAGAGAACCTGTCTTAAAAAAGTTGAAGGTGCTCAAGGACCAAAACCCAAAGTAGTCCTTTTACCACATGCACTTGTGACTATCCACACATGCAACCCCTACATATGAAAACAAAAAAAGCCATAATGAAATACCACTTCATAGCTACAAATTTTTTTTGAGACAGGGTTTCCCTGTACCCCCAGATGGCCTGGAACTCACTATGTAGACCAGGCTGGCCTTGAACTCACAGAGATCTGCTGGCCTCTGCCCTCTGAGTGCTGGGATTAAAGGTGTGTGCCACCATGCCCAACCGGAGCTACTAATAACTTTTTAAATGGAAAAATGCATTGACAAAAATGTAAACTTGAACCTCATACATTGCAGGTTTGAGTGTAAAAATGATGCAGTTATGAAAATAGAGTCCCTGGTAGCTAACCATAAAACCATATGATCCTCTGGGTACATGCACAAGGTAGCAAACAGATGAATGACTAAAATATAGAAGATGGGTTCAAAGGAAGGCTATCGAACTACTAAGGCAGAAATTCTTATATATATATATATATATATATATATAATGGAGAGCTGTGAAAAGGAAGGCTATCGAACTACTAAGGCAGAAATTTTTATATATATATATATATATATATATATAATGGAGAGCTGTGAAAACCTTGTGCTAAGTGAAATAAGACAAAAGGACAAATGCTGTAGGATTCCACTACATGAAATGTCTAGAATGGGCAAGTTTGTAGAGGCAAAAAGCAGACAGAGTTACAAGGGCTAGGAAGAGGGAAGATGAAGCATTATTGCCTAATGGTTACAGAATTTCTGGGATGATGAAAGTGAAATAAGATAGTAGTGATGGTTGCATGATATGGTGAACATAATGCCATTTAATCGGATATTTAAAATTTGTTAAGATGAGCTAGACATCATGGTGTGCATGTGTAATCCCAGCATTTGGGAAGCTGAGGCAACAAGATTTATGAGTTTCCAATCAGTCTGTCCTCCCCCTACAAAACCCCAAACAAAAATAATATGTTCTTTATTTTTTTCTCTAATTTAAGAAATTATGTAATATATAAAGCCACTGAACTGCACAGTTTAAATGGGTGGATTGTATGGGAGTTGTATGTCAATAAAGCTGTTTTTAAAAACAGGCACATTAAAGATATTGTCTCACATACACTAAGGTTGGAAAAATGTACAATCAATATATGTCCATTACCAGGAATGTTAATGCCCTTCAGATAGAAAGGAAATGGGACCAAAAGGAAATCTAGATTTATATCTAGGATATCACTAAAAGGAAATTAACTATTCATTTCATATGACTGCAGCAAATTGCTATAAACTTAGCAGCTTCCAAGAGCACTTGGTAGCTCTGGCACTAGAGGTCACACCACAGACTGGCTTCTCTTCTTAGTGCATCCAGAAAGCTTGTGTCAAAGGGTGGTTGAACTCACTCAAGTCTGGAGTTCTGAAAGAAAATTCATGTCTATGCTCTGTTTTGGCAGGATGCATTTTCTTTTTCCTTCTGGCTGGGTGTGGACCAGGTACTGCACTGTACCCTAACATCTGTACACGTTCCTTGCCACACTACTTGTCCTCCAACTAACAGGGTCTCCTTATTGTTTATGTGCTCAGGTCTCTACTTTGTCACCAGCTGAAGTAAGCACCTGCTTCTCTACAAAGTGAGGCTATTAGGCTTTACTCTGTTTTTTTTTTTTTTGTCTCAAAGAGGATTATCAGTGGTGTGTATAATCATTTCAAGTCCAGGTGAAATGTAGCTGGGTCCTAAGATTTAAGAGATTAAAAATGTAGTTTACTGTGGTAATGACATAATATAGACATGCTCTGGACAAAGGATTTTTACTTAACCTTGCAACCAAAAAGATACATTTCTTTATAATGTAGACAAGCTCAGTGAGCAATATGTTCCTCTTATGACCTGGTCATATGGCCTTAATCCCTTATTACCCTTCCTGTCCCTCAACTTAATGTATAATGTATATGTAGTAAAACCAGCACTTACCTTATTGCAAACAATGAGAGAAACTGATAGCATTCTTTGTGTGCATGTGTGTGTGTGTGTGTGTGTGTGTGTGTGTGTGTGTGTGTCTGTGTAGGTCTAGATCTAGGGATCAGAAAAGTTAAAATTCTCTCATGAGGGTCTGACTTTTACTTCCCCATTTCATGCTGGATATACTGTTTCAATAAAACAGAGTAGGCCCTTGTTCTAGAACACAGATCTGAGAGAATTCTGGAGGAACAGGATTTCAGCTGTTCAGGTGTGCTCTTGGCTTTAAAACTAGGGGCTAAGAGTCAGAGTGTTATTAAGGCATAGCTGTCATTTGGCATTGCATAGTAGAGGCTGCATTCTATATACCTTGTCTCTGTCATCTTGGCTTTTTTCCAACATTATAGTTGTATTTGTGGAGTTCTCTGGTGCACTGTGTGTCTGTTGAATATTGCTGGTACAAGGGGCTTTGGGATGGCAGTCTGGGGAACCTCACAGCACACTTTTCTTATGTTTCTTTCCCCAATTTTGCTTCTCAGGACTCTACTGTTACTCATAGTGTCACCAAGAACAAGAAGAGTATGGAAGCCATGCTGCTGGTTGCACAGTCTCAGGTATGTAAGGCTTTTGTTATCCAGCTGCAATCCCCCCATTTATTTATTTATTTATTTATTTATTTATTTATTTATTTATTTTTCTATGGCGCTTTTGGCTACTTTAACATTCCCCCTCTGAAGAGGTAACCCTAAAATCTTTTAAGGATTAGATAAAAGCTCCCAAATATTTTTGATATTTTTGGCCTTTGGAATGGAGTATGTTGCTGAGAGGCCCAAGGACATTGTGAGCCAAGAAACTGGCTACTTTTCTTTGGGGTCTTTTTACTCCAACTGCCTAGCCAATTCTTACCTCCTATTCTTATCTCTAAAGAGGTTACCCAAATTGCCAATAGGGAATCGGGACACAGACAGCTCTGGCTTCTTCCATGCTGAACAGGGATGAAGGGTGAGGCATTTGGAGTACCCCTTTACTGAAGTTCTTTTTCATAGGAGTCTTTGAAATCACATCTAGAGTCTGTGCCTAGAGCTCAGTAGGACTGTTTTGTTTGTTTCATTTGCAGTTGTAGTTTCATTTCCTTTAATCATTTTTTTTTGTCTTTTTGAGGCAGGGTTTCCCTGTAGCCCCAGCTGTCCTGGAATTTACTATGTAGACCAGGCTGGCCTTGAATTCACAGAGATCCTCTTGCCTCTGCCTCCCAAGTGCTGGGATTAAAGGTGTATGCCACCATGCCTGGCGTTTTTTTAAGTCAATTCTTTTTTTTTTTTTTTTTCATTTCCTTTAATACACAAGAAATGAAACAAGTTTAGTCCTATGGTGGCACCCAGTGGGTGATCTCAAGGACCTGATAAAATACATTTTGTCCATGCTGAGGTATTAGCCCATATCAGATGTCCTCTGGATGACTAGAGAACTGGGAATTCTAGTACATCTTAAGACCTTCTCTGGTCCTAGCTGCCTTGGTTATAGTGCTGGTTGTGCACTGTGACTCACTCCTGGGGATTCCCTGTTTAGAGTGGCTCAGGGACAATAGAAATAATTTTCAGACAGTCATTGTATCCAAGGCATAAAAAGTTCAGAGGAGGATGGGACCTTGGGAGCATCTGGAGTGGGAGACTTGGACTCTATATTCTGTTCACCTGCTTTTTTGGAAGATCCTAGCTACAGATGTAGACAGGTGGCCTGGGGAAGCAGTGAGAAGAGAGCTGATGTTCCACACTGGAATATAGGTCTTTGGTATGTGTATATAACATGAGATTTGAATAGTTTTATAGTTTAAGAGACTACATGGTTAAATAACATTTGCCAAGACATTGAGGATGAGTTCTGGTTGTTCAAATAGACACCAGAGCCTTGGATTTGTAAAGGCTCAGCATTTTGCGAGAGCATGGCCTACTTGAAGAATTAAAAGTACCCCAAACAGAACTGAAGAAGGTGTGGGCACTGTAGACATTCTAGGCATGTTTGACTCTCTGTAGCCTGAATGTTGGGTCAGGGCTCAGGACCCAACTCCTCAGCCTTGGAGGAGGTGTATAGGAACAATAGCCAAGTAGAACTGTAATAAGTCAACAATTGACAAGGCTGGTAAAGCTGGCAGTCTGCCAAGTTAGAACCTTCCATGAGGTAAGAGTGTGAGTCAAATCTGTGCAGTGCTGGGAAATTGGAATTTGGAAATTTCCTGGAATTTAGAAAACCTAGCCAAACTAACATGCTATGAGAAGCTAGCCTGTTTCAACTGAATAATGAATTAACGAGAAGAGAAATCGCCGTGATCTTTGTCCTTCTCTGCTTTGGTTGTGGAAAGGCAGAAAAATAGCTTGGTATGTCAGAGTAGAAGATAAGTAAATAGATAATTGGACTAGAGACCAATGTCAAAAATAAATAAGAGACTCGTGCTGATCAAAAACAATTAAATAAAATGTTTTACAGTTGTATTCATCTGAGGCAAAAATATAAAATGTAAAACAAGCATTATCCCAGGATAATACTTATTTCTAGCAAAAGAGCCATGTGTTATTCTGCATGCCTTTTATTCTAGCATTCAGGATGCTGAGGGAGGAGGATCTTGAATTTGGGACCAGCCTAGGCTACATCATGAGATCCTATCTCAAGATGAAACAGAGAGGAAGGGAGGGATTGATTTCTAAAGTATTACTAAAATTATGATTTAAGCCATGTATAACACATGCATGTAGTTTCGTCACCTGAGAGACCAAAGGAGGAGGATTTCCAATTCAATGATATCCTGTACTACTTAGGAAGAGAATAGAAATTATTATTTAAGGCATATTTTTTTTTTACTATATTCGTTCTTTTAAAAAATATTAGCTAGGTGATGTGAAACCCTTAATCCTAGCACTCAGGAAGCAGAGTTAAGGTTATCCTGGTCTATGCAATGAGTTCCAGGCCAGATGGAGCTGTAGGGAGACTCTGGCTCAAAAATTTTTTCACATTTATTATTAGTTTTGTCTGTGTGTGCATATATGCACCATGGTGCACATGTGGAGGCCAGAGGACAACTTGCAGGAGTCAGTTCACTCTTCCTATATGGGTTCCAGGAATCAAACTCAGGTCGTCAGTCTTGGTGGCAAGTGCCCACTTGCTGAATCATCTCTGTCATCCTTCACGTAGTCTTTGTGTTTCAGAATAGGTTGGCAAGAATGGCTTGTTCTTTTTACTCCTGTCATCTTTACTGTAACACTGGAAGCATATATAATTCTCTGAGATAGTATTTACAGCCTAGGAAACTAGGGGAAGTTAAATCAAGTGGAACATTTATCCAAACCAAAATTTATAATGTTCAAGTTCAAGTTCAGGTCTGCTTAGTTTAAAATCTAGTTCTGAGCTGCTATCTCAACCTGACTTGCTTGTCTCTGTGTTTCCAGTACAGATGCAGTATTTATGGGGCTGTTAAAAGCACCTGACCAAAAAGCATGTGATAGTTACAGGGCAAATGGGTAAAGTATCTTAGTGAGAAGCAGTGCACATCAGTAAGTACAGCAACTCTCTATGAGAATGAGGTGGGAAAGGCCCTGTCATGCTGGGCTGAAGTGGGGAGAAGAGGAATTGTTCTAGAAACATGATGCTTGATTCAGGAATGCCATCATTACCCATCTAGGGAACTCACACTGTTACTACCTCACCAACTTAATTTACCCAGCTGTTGATCTCCTTTTGGTGAAATAAGTCTGTGAGGCAGAGGCCAGGGAGCCTCTTGATGATATCTACTCATGTTACTCTGGGAACAGCAGATAGAGAGGGACCTGGTAGGGAGAGGTTATCTGACACACAAAACATGGCAGAATATTCATTTAATATTGGTAGAGCTCTTGCTTAGCGTGCATGAGTCCGTGGGTTCAACCCCCAGTACTGTAAAAATAATTTCTAGGTTTTAAAGTGTATTGAGTTTTACATTTATCTATAGTCGAGTTCTCCCATATTGGTACACAGGTCTATGACTTTTGACAAATGCAGATAGTTGTATAATCACTGTCTTTTTCAAGATATAGAACTATTTGGGCATGGTAGTGTGCACCTATAATCTCAGAGGTCAAAGCCATCCTGGGCTACTTGAAACTTTGTCTAAGAAAAAAAACAGACATGTCAACCTCAAATCACAGTGACTTTCTAGCAAGTCCTTCCTTCTCTTCAACAGCCCTTGGCCTCTACTTGTTATTCTCAGTCATTGGATTTTGCCTGACTCAAATGTCATTTGAATGGAATTGTGTGCATGTTACCTGCAGCTTTGACAAAGTGTGGTTAATTTGAGAGTCATCTAATGCATGGATAGTAGTTTGTTGCTTTTATTTTTTATTTTATTTATTATTTTTATTTTATGTATATGAGTATATACATAAGTGCACCTGTTTCATTCAATGCCTGCGGAGGTCAGAAGGAGGCATCAGATCCCCTGGAACTACAGATTTTTGTTAACCACCATGCTGGGAATCAAACCCAGGTCCTCTGCAAGAGCAGTGAGTGCTCTTAACTGCTGAACCGTCTCTCCAGCCCCAGTTTGTTGCTTTTAATTGCAGAGTAGATTTCCATTGTATGGGTATACCACACGTTTTTGCATTCTTTGTTAAAGATGTTTGAGAAGTTATAAATAAAATCCTTTATTAGATTTATACATTTGCATAAAAAATTTGAATGGATATATTTCTGTACTCTCAGATATTTAGTCAAGAGAATGCTCTTAAGTGTGCCCTGATAACCAGTGTGTTAAAGGCTTGGTCTCCAGACTGGGAGGTAGTGGAAACTTAAAAGTGAAGGGGATTATGGGATCCTGGTCTCTTCTTTTTTTGTACCTGGCCATAAGATTAACAGGCCTCCTTGTCATGATGTGCTGTGACACAGGCCCCAAGATAATAGGGACAACTGACCGTGGACTAAAACCTCCAAACTGTGCGCCAAAATAATCATTTCCTCTTTAATTGTCTTAAGTATTTTGTTAAAATAACAGAAAGCTGACTAATCCAATGTGGCAAAAGATGAACATAGAAAATGTAGACTATTTTCAGAAGCAACTATGGCATGTTTGTAACATATATCCATCATTCTACTTATTTCTGGAAAGTGCTAACAGTCAATGTGTTTTTTTACTAGGTGGCAGATAGTTGAGGCCTTTGTTTCTTTTAAATCCAATATGATAATCCTGCCTTGTAGGAATATTTAGATTATTTACATTTAATGCTACTATTGCTATAAAGAGCTTAAGACCAAGACCAGCCTTAGCCAACTTGGGCTATGTGTTTATTCCCATATTTTTGAAGAGTTTAAGAGAAAACCAATCTATTGAACTTACCATATCAGATACCTGTTGTTTTTATTGTTCATTTCTCTGTCTTGAGAGATCAGATTTCTTTCTGGAGTCTTTTCCCTTCTTCCTGAAAAACTTCCTATAGCACATCCTTCAAAGCAGATCTGACTGTAAATTCCATTAGCTTTTCTTTATTCAAAAATCTTTATTTTGTATTATTTTGGAAAGATATTTTCATTGGATGTAGAAATTCTGTTTGACAATTCTTTTAGCGTTTAAAAGCAAACATGTAGGGTTGAAGAGATGGTTCAGCAGTTAAGAGCACTGGATGTTCTTCCAGAGGACCCAGGTTCAGTTCCTGGCACCCACATGGCGACTAATAACCCACTGAAATTCCAGTTCCAGGGGATCTGATGCCCGTTTCTGGTCTCTGCAGGCACTGCGTGACAAGGGTGTACTTACATTCATGCAGGCAAAGCACTTACCACACATAAAATAAATAAAAAGCATTAAAAACAAGCATACATTTTCCTACTGCCTTCTAACCTTCATGTCCTTAGTCATCAAAATACATTTGTTTTTCTTTCTTTTCTTTCTTTCTCTCTCTCCTTTCTTTCTTTCTTTCTTTCTTTCTTTCTTTCTTTCTTTCTTTCTTTCTTTCTTTCTTCTTTTCTTTTTCTTTCTTTCATCTTCTGAGTCCAGTAAATTTTGCCTATATTCCCATAAGTTTGGGGTCCTCTACTGGGGCATAGAGTATCTACCACTTTCTTAAAGAAAATTGACTCTTACTCTGCCATCATCCATCACCTGGCAATATCTCCTCAGCTTGGGGTGGAGTCTTGGAAATCCTCCCCCTTTCATGCTGGAACTTTTAACTATTTTGATCTTGTGCCTGTCTTCTGCAAGTAACCATAGCTGCTGTGAGTTCATGTATGCAAAAACCATATCATGCCAGAGGACAGCATTTTGTAGTACTTCTCTCCATTCTCTGGCTCTTACCTTCTTTCTGCCCTCTCCTCTGTGATGTTCCCTGAGCCTTTGGGGGAAGTTTTAACACAAACATAGATGTCCCATCTATGATTGTGCACTCACACTCACCTATTCTCATCACTTTAAACATTAATACGCTTGTGTGTTAGCCACAATCCAATGCAATAAGAAGACTCTATGGCCAAGTTTGGAGCAGTAGAA